CCAGCATCTCTCTTTCACAAAACCAACTCGCACTACTCTCCGAGTAAATGCCAAGGAGAAGGTGGGGACAGAGCAGGTGATAAAAAAAAAAAGAAAAAAATGGCTGGAGGGTTAGGCCTTGACTCTCCCACATAACCCCACAAGCTAACTGTATGCAAGGATTAAAAGGTGAACACTGGGCAGTTTAATTGTTTGTAGTTATTCTTCATGTGGAGCTGGCATCAAGGAGTTCTAGGCATCTCAAGCCAATTTGTATGTTGGGGGTGGGCATGAGCATGGTCCTTCCCCCAAGAGTTTCCTGGAAACTTCACCATTAGTTCAGGCCATGGATAAGGGGATTCAGAAGGAAGCATTTAATGGGCCTGGCTGAAAGATGCTCTCTCTCCAGAACTTTTTGGTCTCCTTTGGAGGAGGACTGAGACATAGTGCCATCCTCTTCTTTGGGCTGTCTGAGCCCTTTCGGACTTCCACAGCCATTTCCAGTAGGGACTCTTGTTAGGGCTGGCTTGTATACACTGGAACTGTGCTCTGGGCAGACACAGCACTTCTGGAACCCAATGGAACTCAGCAAGAGATGAAGCCTATGGGGCTGCATAGAAGCAGGGCAAGGTTCTACCTTCTATCCAGAGACCACTGGCCCAGCAAGCTTCGGAGAAAACCAACACACAGCAGGCCTTCACCTGACCAGGACTGGCACCAAGAACCAATGTTTCAAGGAATATTCCCTTGGAATGGGTGTGTCTGTAACTTGGAGAAAGAACTTCAAGCCAGAAACTTAATCGGAACTTTTAGGTATGATATCCTTTCACCAGGCAAGGCTGAAGACAAGGCACTTCTTAGGATGGTGTCTGTGAAAATAGTTGCCTTGTGCCTGCTTATCGTAGGGAATGCTCTACCTTAGCACTGCTTGATGAGGGTGTCTGTGAAAAGAAGCTAGGTGGAGGTGAGGGGCTGGAGGGTCTTTAGGAAATCAGGGAGTAGGTCTCTTAAGAGACAGTTCCTCACTCGTCTATCTTGGGGATATTTCCTCTAATTTTGGTTTTGACTGAGAGGGCACTCAAGGAATTTGCTCTGTGTTACAGGTCTCCATTTATGTTCTTCCTACCAAGAAAGGGCCACTGCCTGGGGGTAGGGGGGAGGAGGGGAGGAGAATGGGGCCAGAAGGAAAAGGTTTTGATAAAGGTCAGCTGGGCTGATAAGTGCTTTCAGGCTGAAGAACGAGTTGTTAGGCCTAATCAGGACTGGCTAACCAAAGCAAGGGGATCCTTGAGACACAGGGCCTTCCTCAGTGTCTCAGGTCTTACCAGTTTGGAGCCTACTCTTTTACAAACTGTGGACTCCAGAGAGCCTCTGGAAAACTCAAGCTTCTTATCAGTGAAGGCAAACCCAACAAGTGGAGGAAAACTAGAGTGCGCACCAATAGAACCTGCTGAGTGGGAGTATAAAACCACACCAACACACCCTATGGTAGTGATGACATCTCGGCCTTTTTCGTCGCGCAGCCGTCCACTCTACATGAGGCCAAGGCAACCTCTGCGTTCACAAAAGGCCACAGGACCACAGCCAGAATGATGAGAAACCTGTGTCTTACCGCAATCAGGGCTGAGTTCCTCTGGTCCCCCGGAGTCGAAGCTGGCGGCTGCTGATCTCCATTTACCCCGCCACCTACACCATTATTGCTGCTGTTCAGC